TAGACAATCCGCTTATGGTCGATTGGATTTAGCTCTTCTTGGTATATTTTCAAACATGATTAAAACTACTTATAAAATTTTTCGTCAAAATTGGTCGAGCAGTTTTTGAGTGCATAAGCTACAAACATAAATTTATTTTTACATACAGTTGTCACCGTTTATTAGACTTACTTTGAAACAAGTCGATTTCAATTCATTAACTGAATCATTCAATAAGGCAAAAAAACCCTAAAAACATATACTTATTCTTTTTATAAAAATTTAAAATATTTATTGAGATAATGGCTTAGAAATAAAAAATCATTTAATTGTAAAAATATGATTTAAGTATGTATTTATTTGTTTATTATAATAACCAAGGTACCTAATTGGTTTTAGATAGAAATCTATCCAGAGTTGACTGATTTTCCCTTCTTTGGTCCTGGTATCGTAAACTCATAAACATCATGTTTATTCTATGTATGTAGGTACATATTTTTTTATTTATTTAATACTTAAATGATCTCTTAAACCGGTGTAATGAATTTAATAAACGAATTTTATGCTGTATGTTGGTATATAAATCGGGATCAGCTTTTTCGAATCTAATTGGTGAATAAGTCATCCAACCGTGAGTCTTGCAATAAGCTGTATTGTATAAAACTGTTTTTTATTTTTATAACCAATGGTGACCTTATATTTAAATATTCAATTTTTTTTAGCCAGAATAACATTTCTAAGTAAAAAAATCCTATAAGAAATATAAATAGATTTAAAAATGAAATTATGAACACTCCCAGGGTTTCAAGAAATATATGAACAAAATTCGGTGCTAATTGGATAAGCAATTTTGGAGATTAGCAAACACTAACAAACCCACAATAATTTGAATACTTATTATTGTTGATTGCTTTAAAATAAATAATTTTATCTAAAAAAACATACTAACCTTAAAACATTTTATAAACTATTTAAATAGATTTAGAAAAATACAAAAGTACACAATACAAAAACTTACTAAAAACAAAATTAGAACATTCATGATTAAAATATTTCTTTATATCAATAAGTGAGATAATTTTTAGAAATTTTTTAATATAAATGTAGTTACTATCATTATAAAATCTTATTTTTATCGACTTGAACATCATGATGATTAAAATTAAAATTGTATTTAAGTTATAAATATACCTACATAGTACAAAATTCAAATAATTATATTGCTTGTAATGAATAAATTATAAAAGTTAGACTACAATTCCATAATTGAAGTACTGATCATCGCAATAGATGTTTTTTTTTTTTTTTTTGAAAAAGAAGTTTCTTATTAAATATTGTAGTAGAAAAGTTTAGAATATTAACGAGGAAAAGCTTAAAAGTTTCTTCAGACCCAAGCCCCTTTATATTCTACAGGGTGATTTACCAATCATTCTCACCCTTGAGTTAAGCCCATTTTCTTAAATAATGCAATTATTCAAAATGATTTTAGAATTTTCAAGTTTAATTAAAGACTTTATTTTAAAATTCTTAAAATTTTTGTGTACTTACCAACTTAAGAGTGTACTGTAGAGATACAAACTTTTATTTTCAAATGAGCATCTCAACCCCATTTTTACTGCAAATTATTTAACAAATTATTTTTCTGAACATTTTAACGTATCAAATTATAAATTCCAACAAGAAGTGTTTGAATTATTTAACTTTATATACTGAGAATAATAGATCCATGGTAATGGATTTTAAAAATATAAACGATATAATAACTAAAAACTTTTAGTAACTAATATTAATCTATCAATATTAATAATTTTAAAAGAGGTTCAAATATAATAATACGACTTTTAATATAAGACATCTATTTTGTATTTTTATTAACCATTTTTAAATACTATTGCCGTAAACATTTTAATAACTCATTTTAATTTTGAAATATGCACATTATAATTTTTAAAAAATTATCAACTAAATAATTTATAGCAAAAAATAGCTGCCTAATCTGAAAATGAAGATTGTATCATCATAGGACATTCTTAAGTAGCACAAAAAATCTCAGGAATGTTAGGTATTTAAGAATATTTAAAAATCCCAAAAATCTGAGTTCATATTTGCAGTTTTTTAAAAACTTTATAATTTCAAAACAATAAGAATAAATACAGAATAATAAAAATTTTGGTAAATACAAAAAAATAACTATAATAATTACTTACCTATACTTATAATATTTAACACAAAAATATTTTTAATTGGAAATATATCTAACATATTTAATTAACTGTGTCATCAAATTAATATAAATGCAAAAATTATATTTTTTTTTTTTAAATAATCATTTTAAAATAATTTCATTAATAAAATTAGAGTGCTATAAATTAAAAATTAATTACTTACTAATATATCTAAAATAATAGGTAAAAAAATCAGTTTAATTTTTCATAAATAAATATATTTTTGACAAATATAACAAAAAATAAAATTACTTGAAGAATTTCACAACTGTAATTATTTTAATGTTTACAAACACAGATGAAATGAAATAAAATCAACTAAATTGTTCTTTAATACTAAACAGAAAATGTAAATAAATAATGAATTCTAAGCGAATTGTTTCCAACAATGATTAATAAATCAACGTAAAAAATTTCGCTTAACGTTTCTTGAAGAACTTCAACCAACCATAAACTGTACTATTTCATTGATGATTCCACAGAGTTCAGTTAAAAACAACTTACAAACGCATGTTACAATATTTTTGAAACTAATTTCCTTCTTCAATGGATGAAAAAATTACAGTCGAAACAACACTTAAGTGATATTTAGAGTAAGTTAACTATTCTGATAAACAAAGTATCTCAAAAGCTCATAAAAAAAAGAATAAAAATACATTTATTTGATTCAAAAAACGAATTCACTTTCATAGATAAAATATTATGTATCCGATATTACCTATAAACATATTGGTAATAAAATTGAATGACCGACTAAATAAAAATTTTCAGATACAATCCTAAACAAGAGTCGTAAACATAAAATCTAAATCCAAAATGTCCAATATATTTGACATTTCCCACTTCACTAACACTATTTAGACGAACAATCGGTCTACAGCTGTCAACAATATTTTCGTATGGTAAAATGTTGATTATTCAAATACAATTGTAATATAAAAAAGTGTCATAACATGAGAATAATATTTTATTGGTTATTGCAAAATATTAACAAAAAGGATTGACTAATAATATACTTACTGGTGTACCTATATATTTATTTTGTGTAACAAATAACAATAAAAGTAATAATATCCATTGTTCAATATATAATTATATACAGTTCAGTTGCATTCTAATATGCATTTTGTTTAAAAATAAATACATAATAATATACGTTTATAGAATACTAAAATATGAATTTTAGTTGTCGTTTATAAAATGTCTTCATTACTTTTCCAATGACATAATATAGTAAATAACATATCATTTATTAAATGTGTGTGTGTGTGTGTGTGTGTGTGTGTGTGTATGTATTGTAATTAAGAAGATATAAATTATGAATTTTCCAATAATTTTTTATAAAGAAAAAATAATTTACATGTTTCTCAAATTTAATAAGTATTTATATTATCATTTATATGCGACAATATCCTATTAAAAGGCATTTATTCTTAATTCTATATCATTGAAATAGATAATAATAATTAATATTATATAGAGCAGTATAATATTATATTTATTTTATGTTATATATAGATAATACTGAAATATCCATATTATTAAAATATATTAACCATTAGTTTGTTTAAAGATGAATTGTGAAATTACAAGTATTTAGTATACCTATATTAAATTTTTGTCAATAAATTATTATTAATTATCCGTCTTATTTTGAGTATTTGATAAAAAAATTTACTAAAATAATGTTAATCAAGTAAATTTATAGAGCATAACATATTTAGGTACTGCATATTACTTTAATACTAATATAAAAATTCTATTATTATTTTTATTTATTCTAAACTCGCTTTTTATTAATTTTAAAATAATTTAAACTAAAAAGTCAAGTACATTTCATGTCTTAAATCGCATATTTAAAAAATATATTTTTTTTTCAAATTTATAATGCTTTTATTTTACATAGATTGATTATCAATAAAATGCAAATACTTATAAAAATGAAAATATTGATGGAAAAACATTTTATGCGTAAATACATTTTTTTATGCATACTCTTATCTAATATAATTTATTAAAATGTTTTACTTTACCTATGACAACCATAGTATTTTTAGATATATCAAAGTTTTATATCCTCTTTTTAAAAAATTTAAATATATACAAAATTGTTATGTTGTCGGAAAGAATTTATATCCTATACCAAATATTATCGAATCCCTTAAAAACTCAGAATTATGACTACAGAATACAATTACACAACAAAAAAACTATAAAAAAACGGTGTATTAGAATAAATTTACGATATAAATATACCTAAATTATTTTGGTGACGCACAAACGTCATAATAAAATGCACTCAGAATTTCACCAGTGCAAATTGGCTTGAGTTCGTGTCAAAATTATAATACACTGAGATTATGAAAAAAGTAGAAATATTTTATGCTTTGAAAGTAATTGTGAATTATTACTAACACTATACACTTCGATGATCATCATTCGTAATATTTACGTAGGCAGTTATTTTTAATAATGTGTGCTTATATATGCACTTACGCCGTTAATTATTATTTGGCGGTACAGCGATATTTTATAGGCATATACACATGTATACGTATAATGAACGCGTAAATAATATAATTATTTTTGATGAACTGACTTTCTCGACCAATATTATTTTATCCTCGATCGAAGATATAGTGATATTTAATAAAGAACATAATAAATGTATGTGTGTGTGTGTGTGTACAATAATAAGAATTAATAATACTATGATGTATTGATGTACCTATAATATCTCCCTACTCGGTGGTAAAAATAAAATAAAACAACAAAACGTCATCACTAATGCCTTACCTCTATGCGTCAGCCAAGTCTTGTGGTAGTGGCGGTGGTGGCAGCTATATAAACAGTTGGCTGTAGGTCTCGGAAGCAGCGGGCGCTCCACCCAGGATAACCGATGATCACGTTGTCCGGCTGGACATGTCCGAGCGACGGCGATTGTTCTCGAGGTAAAGACCTTTAGCTCAGATCTTTGGTTTTTAATCTTTCTAAGACCTATAATACCTATAATACGCGGACGTCGCTGTATGATAAATCGTATGTGTCCTGCGACTTACGCACGACGACGGTCCGCACACGCGCCGCGTCCCGGCGAGGAAAAATAAAACGGATTTCGGCGGAGAACTATGTGCAGTGTATTGTTTTTACTCCTCCTTCTCACTCGCCGGCGGACACATTTATGACCGACAGTCCACGAACGCGGGACACCCGACTGTCGTGTTCACCAGCAGTAGCGGGCTCCGTCCGGGGGGAATTTTCGAGTGCACTCGCGCCCCGGCGAACACCGATCGAAAAATGAACGCGTACGCGGGGAAAACAAAAAAAAAAAAAAAAAAAAATCATACACAAACGCACGCGACGAGTGGACTCGACATCGACGACGACGGCCAAGACGGACTTTGGGGGGGTGCACACACACACACACATTGGTGACGATTGCGGGCGAATTAAAACATCGACACAACGATCGACCTCGACGCCCGGATAATACGCGTAAGGCGGGCGAGTGGAAACGCGAACGGACGGAGACGGCGAAGGAACACGCACTGTCGGCTGCGGCACGTCCGACCACACGACGATCGGGTCTCTTCGTCGGCGTGCGCGCGGCATAATATCCCCTCACTACCGCTACCGACAGCTGTTGGCGGCGGCGTCGGCGACATCGCGCGCGCGTTTCGTTTTAAATTTTATTTTCATTTTCTTTTTCCTTCCTTCCTTCCTTTCCTTACCTCCTATTTTTACACTCTCCCGGCTATTAAGGGTTTTCTTCAAACCTGTTGGATCCGCCGCGACAACGGTACAATATTACATACATATTATTATCATAATATACTGACACGCCACCGTCACAAAGTCCGTTTGCTCGTTACAATGTCATTATTGTACGCTTGTTCCAGCTCATAACATATCTGTACATGTTGTGTTCAGGCCAAACCGCGAATATAATATCGTTAGCTTAGCGCACTAGTAGGCTGCGGAGAATATATAACGATTTTATGCGTATGCGATTGGTACTGTCCACAGTTCAAACATTAAATGGAAGTGCTCTAAATTTGATGATACATATTGCCTTGATTCCCATACAAATCGTATTATTTCCTAAATCGTTCCTTTCTGTTTAAATTGCATGTATTCGGGTGGGTAGAGAGTGTTTAATTATGGATTTGATAAGATACACAATTGATATGATTTTAGCATAAAAATGTATTGTACATCAATTCTTTAAAAAAAAATGCCCTATTTTATAGTGCATATAATTAAAATACTCGTAATATTCCATGGTTTATTTCTGTGCATTTCAATAATTTTATACTAATACGTATCTACCTCTCGTTAATAAATTGTACATAATATTTCTACCTAATTCTCCTTTCAACTATCGTACTTATCCAGCGTAGTAATTGTAACCGTCATAATTCTAAGTACTTGTAACCTATTTTAGCTTTTGGATTACTTAAATTTATATGAATGTTCCAAAAATTTGTGTAACGTCAAATTTAAATATTCTTGTAATAATTATGCAACACGTAGAGGTTTACTGTACATGCAGATCTTTAAAACCAATTCAGGCAATCACATGTTTAATTGTTTTCTTCTAAAATAGTTTTACATAAACATTATGATTACGTGAATCAATTTAAAATAAAATTATAATACGTATGATATACCAATTAATATTTTATAAAATTATAACACACATTTATCACAATATACACATCACATCAATAATTGTTTGAAATGTTAACAGGTATTTTTAACTGTATTTTTTTCAAATCATAGGTAGATAGTAAAATATTATGAACTATAACCTATAGGTATCAAGAACATAAAAAAATATTCATAAAATTTATAGCTGAGTTAATGAAATAACATCATTGTTATAGCAGAATATATTATACATTATTAAATTAATAGTACCTATTAATTATCCTCTTTTTAGTATAAGCCCTTATTTTATGTTTTATATGATGCATATAAGTAGTTACTATCATAGATTATGGAAAAATAGTTAATGAATCTTAAAAGTATATACAACCTATATTAACCTTCAAATTTCATACTGCATGTAGAGTAAAAACTTAAAATTAATACAAAAAAAAAAAAAAAAAAAAAAAAAACGTTGTACTTAATAAAATAATGTTAATTACAGTTGTTATCCACATATTATCTAGAAATGATGGTTGTTCAAATACAGCAGGAAATTCAAAAAAATGTTCTAAAATTGTTGTCGTGGATTGTATAGTGAAATATAAGCAAATATAACTCTAGTTAATTATGATACTAACTGGTAACTATATTATTTGCATTGTACAACATTAAATAAATATTGGTGTATAGCTCATTAGAAGTTTTATTAAATTTTATGGTATTCTAATATAAAAACTTTGTTGTTTCGAAATTAAAATAAACGTTTAGTAATATTTTTCATTATGTTAATTTCATTAAACAAAAAAGTAACAATCTTAAAGTAAAACATTGATAGAAGTTTGTACAACTGTAACAAATTACAAAAGTGTTACAACAATTTACATATTCTTTTATTATTTAAACTATGGTGAAATATTTATGAGTAGGTATATCATGTTATGATAGTATTTTTATTTTTATTATTACTATTATTCCTATTATTATTATTATTATGCAATATACTATAGGCGTGACACTAGATTCATCATAACACAAACATTTGGGTACATACTTAATTATTCCAAACAGGATGTAACGCAAGCACGTAATGTACAGTCTATCTAAAATGCTTCGTGTAACTTTTAAGAAAACGCCTATCAACCTACCTACCCCTTAACGTAATTCTATGACATTTCTTGAAAACAGCATTTCTAAAATTGGCATCAACAATATAATTTTACATATTATAGATGTGTAATGCTTACTTGTGTGCTTAGAACCGACCTCATTACGTAAGTTCTCCGTCAAGTTGTTTTGCGGGTTTTTCGCCAAGTCGAATGCATCGTACCTAATACTTGCATTTCCTTTGAACATCTCTACTAGAGTCTTTGTCATCAATCCACAAGATTGCTTTCCAGACACTCTCCAATAGCCATCAATGTCGTATATGAGTAATACATTTTTCCACAAATATCTGAAAAACCCCTTTCAAAAACGTTTATATAACTTCCGTTTTGTACGAACACTACTGGAAACTATATCACACCGGTAGTGGCTACCTATTTAAAACGCTGACCACCACATCCGCTATGTCCTGGAAATCTAACATGCCTGTACGTACTAAAAGGAAGTACTTGCTTTTTGGATCTCGTTTGTCCAATGAAAAATCATTTGTAAAACCACCCGTCGTGAGCAATGGTGCATTCCAAAACTTTATCATCCTGGCAACGAGATCTAAAAACATAATATATACTTGAAAAACATTTATTTTTGATAGTTAAGAATAGTTTTTATTTCATGATAAACTTAAAAATACCTATAAACTATTGTATAAATTAAATTTATTGGAATAAAATATTAGCAATAATTTTAAGCTAATCATTAGTTTTTATACATTATTCTATTTCTAGAAAAGATACAAAATTAAATAGTTTTTTTATTATTAAATGATTGTTTCCTATTTTAAAATTATATAATTAATTATAAATAACTGTCACATAATACATATACCTAAAGATATTGTTATATATATATATATCAATAATTATTTATTTAAATGAATATGCACAATAATTTTAAGATACTTTTACTGAAAACATTTTATGTTATCTGGTAAATATAGTTACCACTAGAAGTTATTAAAACAATTCAATTTAGTGTTTACAGATTAACAGTATAATATTTTATGATCTCACATAAATATATAAAATTTCAACAAATAAAAATCTATGAAATCTTTTATTTAAACAATTATTTTATATATTTAGAATGTTTAAGTACTTTAAATTCATTAAAATTATTTAAAGTATAAACAGCTATCGTATTGTGTAAACCAACATACAAATACAATTTTAAATTATTAAAATACTACATTATTTATTTTTTTTTTAATTTTTATTTTAAAAACATAAATCTTAGTTAGCTATAAACAAACTAAAAATTATATCGCATTACTTTTTTTATAAACAGTGTTAAATGAAAATATTTTCATGAAATGGTTTTTTTTTTTTTTTTTTTTTGAATTATACGTAAAATTGGTTCTCTTTACCTATAATTTAATGATATTATTTTAGCTTATTTATAGAGTTAATCTTCTATGCAATGAGAAACCACAATTTTAAACTACTGACTAAACTAGTAAATAGATATAAGTGCTATGACTTATACAATTTTAATACACTTAGTATAATCAGTGTTAAATATAACAAAACACCAATATGGCAGTACGTATGTATTATTTTATTATTTTTTTAAATAGCTGTTAACATGAAATTTATAGATAACATATTTCTTACTAAAGTTTATGAGTATATTAATTTTTGACTTATTATATTTTTTATCATTAACTATCTTGAAAATTCTGTGATGAATATTACAGTTATTTGTCTGATTAAAGGTTTTTTTATTTTAATTTGTAATGCGAAATCTTAAGTTATATATTCCAATGTTATAAGCGCAATATTTCGAAAATACGAGTAACTTGTTAACATTTAATTTATAAGTCTTTGACAGTACTTGACATAAAATATGATTTATCATAAATAATAAATTAGTTTCACTCATTACAATTCTATAGTTCATTGCTTTCAAATGTAATACAATAACATACATATAATACAATATGTATATCACCTCAACATAATCGCTTAAATAGCTCACCCAAAACAACACATTATACATTAAGAAAAAATTATTATAGTAGGTAGTATTTAAATATAATTTTTTGAGTTTAATTTTTGGTCTTAATTTTATAGTCACATTATAAATAATCATTATTTTATTAATATTTAAATTTCTAACAAATAAACGCATTATATTATACAAATTTTTCGTAAATATGTGTTATATTATCAGAAAATAGTGGAATAAGTAATAATTCTGTTGTCTCTGTGCTTAAATTCATTATTCATTTTATAGCTTATGATATAACTGACTTAACTATTTTATTGGTTGATTTAGTCGATTCAAATAACAATTGACGCGAATAAAGGGGACAAGCTACCCCACACATTTAGCTACTGGTTAAATAATCACCGGTAAAATGGTCCACTAGAATTATGAAAACATGCATTATAGAACAATATATAACTTTAGAAGTAGATATATAAGCATAATTTAACTAACATTAACACTAATCATGTATAAATCTATTATATTATAGTATCTAATGCAATTTAAATGTAACCTATGTTTCGTCATATTTAGTCTAAGATAAATATTATTCAGAAATAAATTCAATAACGGGGCACTTGTTAATATATTATTATACCAATACTAATATAAAAATATTGCTGTATATTTTCATTATTTAAAGCATATTATAGTTTTTTATGTTTAACTATAAGCCATGGTAATTATTTTATTTTATTCATATACATTATTACAATTATTTTTAATCATAATAACAGGTAGTATAATTTTATAGATTAATATCAACAAATTAACTGAATTTTAAAAAATAAACTTAAAACGTTTTGAAAGTTTAAAAATTGTATTTAAATGTTAATATACAAATACTATATAAATATAATATTATATGTTTTTGAGTAATATTATACATTTTACTCAATTTTTTTTAAACATAATATACTAGTATGATACTCTGTAAAATACCAGATAATTTAATAACATCCATGAGATCGTGAACCTAGTGGTACCTATGTAACATAATTCATGAAAAATATATTGAATAATATTTTTAACTATTAATTAGACATGATTGGCGTGTTCTTACAATTTTTTAGATTCCCGTTAAAAAGTTGTGAATAATTTTTCAAAAACGTCACTAAGTTCATACTAAGACCAATTATTTATCGAAAAATTCAAATTGTGTATTACGATTTTTGGAAAGGTCCTATAATAAAGCGTGAGTATTATATATAAAAAGTATTCACTTCAAAATACAGACATATATAATTATACAATTTTTAATATACTTACTGTAAAATATGAAATGTATACTTATTTTATTATTTATAATTTGATTTTTAAAAATTATTTTTTTAATGACAAGATAGACCTTTTGACTTTATGGCTTATTTTGAACTTTTATTTGTATGTATAGGATGAGCGAGCGTAGTATAACAAATCACGAGATGATCGGTCAATTCCGTCAAAATATTTTTAAACAAAACACGTCTTACAAATAACATAAACATTGGCTGAAACTTATTGGCAATAAAATATATACATCATATCTGCAGTAAAACCGTACAATCTAATAAACATCGGCGTAATAGTGGAATGGTTCAGTTAGGATTCAAGTAATAATAATTATATATAATCATAGAAACTACTATCAGCAAGTTTATTTAACTCTATCCTATCTTCCCTGTCAAGTAGATACACTGATACAATATACAAGATAAAACCAACTTAAATGCTATTCTTCAAAAATGTATGAATCTCATACTTATCTAAAGTCAAAAGGGTTTTGCAAATAGCAAGAGCGAGTGTCAAAAAAGAATAGATTTAATTTTTATAAAATAGTAGTGTTTAATACTAATGACATTAATATTTGTATGATATTATACACTTGTTAAAAAATACAATAAATATGCAAACTAATTAAAAATAAAATCGCGCATACAAATTTCAAAAGTGCCTACATATATACAACTACATAAAATAAAAAATGATTTAACTCTAACACGGATTGTACATTGTAGAACAAATAAAACTTATATCGATGATTTTAATCCCTTAAACACTATTTCAATCGTATATTAAATCAATTCTAACGAGTAGTGCCAGACAAGGTACATGGACTGGATCGAATATATAAACGCAAGCCTGTTATGTTGAATAAAAGCCATTAAAGTAAGTAGTGACTAGGTAACTTAGTAAGTACCTATATTTTATGACATATTATATATTGCTAGTCTTAAACCGTTTCAATTGTTTTTTTTTTTTTTTTACACTTAATTTTAAACTATGACAGTTCCGAATGTTCTGATACCGATAAAATACCAATAAAATAAGTCACTACTATATATAATCAAATATAATTATTATCAATTTAATATTGAACAGTTTATTTTAAAGCCATACTTGTAATACTGTAATACTAAATAGCTGCCTATATTTTACCTTAAATATATTTAACATTTAAAAAATAAAATTATATGTTTTTATTTGTGTTGTAAATTACATATTTACTAGTATATTACTAATTTTAAAGTGCACTGAAATATAAAATAGAAGGTTTTATAAACGAAATGGTTTTCTTCGGGAGTAACATTCTAGAGTTTTTTCACTAAGTATTTTTTAAATTTCATTTCAAAATAGAATACAGTATTATGTACTTACTCTTTAAATAACATACGGTTATAAATAAATAGGGTTAATAGTAAAGTGTTATATATATGTAACATCAATTTACAATCATAAGAATATAAAATGCTCTAACAGTTATTTAATTGATTATTTAGTTATAATTATTATTTTAAAATATTTACTATTAAAATGACTTAATATTAATATTTATTAACATGCCTTAATTACTTAAATAATAGTTTTAAGTTGTTTTTCTAAAAAATACTTTCATTTACATTGTCAAGATTAAAAAAGACTAATATTTATTAATACTATCTAAAAGTTACAACACTATAAAATTCCATGTTTTAATTTTAAGAATATAATACTCGTAATATGTTCTATAATATATTCATTATCTATATATGTCTTTGGTCTCCTCCAAAAACGAAATTCTCATGTACTCGATTATTTATATATAATTAAGTGTTTATTAGTGACAATGGTGCCTAGTAACATTATAAGTGTATAATATAACATAAATTTACAGGAGAGATAATTTTGTTAATTTGTCGGTTCTCGAAGCACTTATTTATGTATGAAACCGCTGGCTCTTTAATCTAATTTAATTATTTTAGCGCGTCTTTACAAAGAAACTTTTTGAGTTTGACTACTTGTAAAGTTTAACGAAACAAAAGAAAATATTTTAACAAAACTAATAACACAGCCTAAAATGTCTGATGCTTGAATCATACGTTTGAATGAAACATGTGACAGATGTCAATAAGCAATATTGACTTAAAACAAATCATTGCATTCAAATAACGTTTTTAAGAGTCCTCGGAACACTAAATATTTGTCTTAACAGACTTAAACAAATAGCACATGCTTATATTTATTCGCTGTTGTTTTTCTACAATTCGCAATTTAGCTCAGAATCTTATAAATGTTAGATACCACTTCAAAACTAAGAGATATTA